GTCACAGATGAGGGCAATATCGTCAGCATACTCCAGGTCAAGAAGTCGTTCAAATGGGGGCAGTTCCACACCTAGAAGGTCGTGTAGTGTACCGGAAAACACACGTTTATTATTTCGCAACATTGGATTTTACCGTTGTGTCAACCTTCAAAACGTCCACTTGTTTTACTGGCGGCACTTCCGTTGACACAAACTGCTTTGGTGAGTATCTTGCAGCACCGTGTCTCGCTCAGGTTGAATCCTTCCCATTTTTGTAACCTGCACAATATACGATGGGTTCAGTCGCCTCCAAATCCTATTCTGTCCCATATTTGACACGTCTTTTACATGTAATTGATTACCGACTAGGACCCCAGGCGCCACAGAACAGTCGTGTTCATTGAACAGGAGTTCCCTGACGTCGTGGTGGCAGCTGGCACTCGCTTCTTAAACCGCCGGAGATATCGAAAGGCGGAGACAGCACACCGAAATGTGCTTGTAAAGCGCTCTGCTAATATTTACGTATTTTTCGGGCACACCTTTCCTAGGTAGACGTCCCCATAAAGCACATCGAGCAACCCAATCGTAGGCGTCTTTGAAGTCGGGAAACGAGACTACGATTGGTCACCAATAATTAAGACCGCGCTCCAACAATTCACGTAATGTGAAGGGGCGATCAATACATCCGTGATTACGAGGAAAGTTGTCTTGCTCCTCACGAATCCGGCTCTCACTCCTGCCAACAAGTCTGTGAAGAAGGAAAGAGGCAAGTAACTTAGAGGCAATTGAGATCACAATAATCCCACTATTATGGCCGCATTCCAAAATTGAACGCCTTTTGAAGAATTGGACTAAGACGGAGCGGCTCCAATATGTTGAGACAGTTTCCTGCGCCCACAGTTTCACTAGTAAGTTGCGTAAAACATCTGTAATAGCAGATCCTTAGAATTTGAAGAGACTAGAGGAAGCCCATCTGCTCCTGCAGTCCTTTACAATTTCAACAATCTGATTTCATATTCAACTTCTGTGCGTGAAGACACATTCAAAGAGACGGCCCAGGGAGAAGGGCGATCAATGACTGGTCATTCATTCATTATACATGTTAGCTACAGGTAGGGAAGCTGGTAACTCACGCTGAATAAACCTTTTTCAAAGTGTTCGGTCCAACGCCTCGAAATTTCGGACATGTTGTAGATAGGCTGCCCACTCTCGTCGCATATAGTCTTGCTAACACCAAGTCTCCTGCTTGTTTCCCGTAGAGCACGTAACAGATGGTTACCAAGGGCAGCGGCCATCTCCATCTCCGATGCATGATGCGACTACCAAGCTTCTCAATCTCTCTTCAGGCCAGCAAGCAAGTTCGCCCTGAGACCTACGAGTCTCGCCGGGTCGTTTCCATCCAGAATGTGTCGGCGAGCATCCAGAAGTTCCAGGAACTGCAGAAAGGCCCAACGTCTAGGTAGGCAATTAGATTTGCCACATGAAAATAGGTCTACCGCTAATAAGATGGACGAACATGTGACCAATGAACTGCAACTGTGTTCAGTGAGCGCTTACTCAGCTCTGATGCCAGAGTACTTTGACACGCATTCAGAACATGACCCTCCGCCAGTTGACAAGTATCGATACGCTCACAGTCTCGCCGCATGCATCCATTAGAGCGATTTCTAAAGATCGGCACAAAAAAGTTCGTGGTCAGAGTCTAGGCTCGTGATCCAAATCGAGCGACAGTTTTGGACGCAGCCACTCCAGCGGTAACTGGTCGCAATGTGATCGATTCTCCTTCATGGCTGGTCTAAGGCTGGTGGGCACCATGTAACCCTCCGGCGGCTGCTGTGTCGGAAGAAATAGACGAACATCTTCACAAAAATGAAACAACCGCTCGCCGTTATCAGTACGAGAGCCTACACCGTGTTAGCCGCCCAAATGCCCGGTAGACATATTCCCAAATTGGGCGTTCAGACAATCAGCCAGCATCACAGTATCCGTCCCTTTACCATAACGAAGGAGCTAGTTTAGTTAGTGATGGAAGTCATCTTGCACCGAGTCAGCGCTATAGTTTGTGGAGGCGTAGGCCACAAAGGCAAACAGATACCTATTGTCTGCGCGCGACTTCGAAGTTTTGAACGAGCTAGCTAACATGACGGCGCGCATCAGGAGGTTTATTGAGATAGAGTCAATCAGGGAAGCTTCAGCCCGGGGACTCGGAGCAATGCCTACACTGTCTAGACCGGTATATGAAGTTGCGTCCTCTCCAGACGAACGCAAAGAAAAGGTGCCGCCAGTGTCGCTTGTGGGGATCGCATGGTGAACACAAAGCTCGACGCTTGCAGATGAGTTTCCGATAAACAGCACATGTCGACTGATACAGCTTCTAGTTTTCGGGAATATGCTGCCTATTGGCCAATATGCAAAAAAGTGCGCACGTTGAGGCATGTCAGTCCTAGTGAGGATCGAGGGCTATAAAGAGAAACGGTTAATATTTTACTGGTTCATCTCAGCTGCTCACAAGTCAGATTAGTCTAACCGCAGTCCAAAAAGCACCATACGATGGTTTCGTCCGATTGCGGCTCGTCAGTGGTGCGTATTTTCGCTGTCCAGTACTGGGGATCGAACCCCTGATAGCTAGCAGCTTACGCCAACCAGCCAGTAGCATATGCCACTGAGCTAAAGGAGAAAATGGCAGACCGTCGGCAATTGCAAACTAACTGGGACATAGCACAACCTATCCACCACTGTCATACATTTTCCTACCATTGCAGGGGACAGTGGCTGACATCCTTGGTTCCGACATCCCCTACATAGTAACTGTGACCGCATGGCATTTGAAGACTATGAATTGACGTTGTACACTTGGTAGAAAATGTTTGTCGAATGGACTGGGACGGCGCGCTGCGATTACGTGTGTCAAAACTAAAAGACAAAGAACCGCTGAAGTGATATGGGTGAGAGTCAAGAATTGAGGGTCGAAAACGGGGGGGGGATAAAAGTGGAGTTGGAAGGGGCAATAAGGATGAAAAGAAATAGGCTTGAGCAGTAGCATGCTCACTCCTATCCAACCAGCTCGATGCAGCAGATAGGATGCCTCTGATTATCCTCTGCGAGGATAAAGTGCCAATAAATCGTGCGGAGAAAAGTACATTGTATTGCATTGCATCAGGTTTCCCAGGCCTAAACAGGAGGACTAGGGTTCTCTACCAAATACTTTGGTTCAAAAACTTGACCGCAAGACAGTCGGGTTTTTATAGTGGGCTACAGATGGTCCGTTTTATGAAGTAAGGAATCACTCTCACTCCAATCCCAACCTGGAGGTCCAGGACACTTAGTTTCTCAGGCCTATAACCATTGACCAACCTAGTAGGGGAGCTTTGAAGGTGTAGAAACCACCACCTAGAATAGCACAATAGATCACTGAGGTACGAAAACCGCAGCACCACAAGGTTCAGTCTCGTGCTATTTACTACTCCGGCGTACATCATACGCCATCGCGGCACCATGTTGGACAAAACTGCGAGGTGACCAGTCGGTGACGCAGCATAAGGACATGGAGAAATCGGCTACAAGACGTGGTAAGGCTGGTAGGTGCCGAATTCATGAATGGGAGCTTCAAGATGGTCCATACCAGTAGTGGGAGACGCTACTGGACATATCGCTGCCACGTAGTCAGTGGCGTTCCAGCATTCGGTTGCTATTATATAGCTCTCGTTTTCATTCTGTCCCGATAAGAGTTATGCAATTCCTGGCAATTCATTTTTATATTCGGTTTGTGTTTAATCACGTAATAATACCATTGATATTTATCGGTATCTTGGCGACGGGAGTTGAGTCAACTGGATCCATCGTACTTCAGCGCCCTGAACATAACTTCTTAATGGAAGAAATGAACTCACTAAAGAGCTGCTCAGCTGCCTTGAGGTCACCACATCCGCTCCTATTGCAGCAGAAAGTAAAAGCAGAAATGAATTATTACTTTTGAGCGCATGAAAAATTTAGGATCCAGTAACTACTGGTCTGTCCGCGGTTACTGTTACGGAGCTCAAATAGCTCCGCGAAAGTCGTGCAGAGCTCACCACAACAATATTGACATCATGTGATGACTTAAATTGAGCAGGGCATAGCTGAGCTTCCCATAAGGACAACGTCGCTGTGTCAACGTAAACCATGCAGAATTTACCTAATGGCTCGCAAGTGATGTTACTCTATCTACCGCTCCAGGGAACACTGACTTCAACCGTATCTTCCTCCAGACACTACAACTTTGTGGCAACGCATGTAACTTGCCAACATTCACCTTCCTCCATAGTTTATGTATTACATTGTTATATTATTAAGTCAGAAGTACAGAGGGGTAAGGGGCATGTTTTTACTTTGGCTGAGTAAATAAAAAACTGTTGCTATGGTCTAGTCCTTCTTTTCTATGTCTCAGTGCAGTCGTGCGAGGTTACGCGTTTCGTCTCCAGTCTCAACTCGTGTGTATAATGTTTCGCGACTAGGTCCTTTAGGCTGTACCGCTCCGAGTTCAATTGTCAATCGTGCGTGTAGAGAACTACCAGTAAAGAGCGCTTCGTCCGTTCCAACTAGGACTCGAAGCAACAAAGACGTCGTATAACAGTTACCTGGATCGCTTAGGCAATGTTCGTTCGACACACGGAATAGGAACTGTGCTATCCTTTTCGATGCCTCCGCCAGTCCACACATGCTCCAGAAACTAGTTCGGTGTCTGTCAGGCCCGCAAAACACTCAAATGCAAAACCGTCCGCAGAATAAAATTTGTCCTCAAGTATGAGATATGAATGCGCAAGATATGGACAAAAGCAGATACAAGAACTTGGAATCAAGCAGTACATAGGTAAAATTTAGTGATGACGATAGGAGTAAAACAAGATTCATGAGGTTAAAAAAACTCGAACAACGAAGTAGACTAAGAAATTTTCCTAAAATCGCTTAATATAAGTGAAGGGCTAGTTAGAGCAAAATTTCTGAGGAATCAAAGGTGCGAGATGGCATGTGAAAAATGATACCTTTAGGGAGGGAATGTTTCCGCTGTCTCATGTTTTTGGGAAGCGGGCTCAATGCTTGTGATCCATCGTATTCCGTAAGTTTAAGCTCTGAAACGATCCAAGCAGCTTCAAAGACAGAATATTGTTACCAGCAAGTCTGGTGATATCGACTTCAGCAGGCGAATTGATATTTTTCCAATTATTGCCGGTTTGCATAGGCGCTAATGAATGCTGCGGAACAGAGCGATGGCAAATATGGAACAAAGGTTGGATGCACGAGAAAATGATCTAGAGCCCGCACCTACGTAGAGGAGATACAAGAAAACAAAGTGTGTTAGCGGGTAACATTTGGCATTGATCACTTTAAAGAATCACTTTAAAGCCCAAGAAAGATGGAGGGGTGGTATGTTTCAAAATAAGAAGAGAGCAATATGTCTTAACCTTGCCAGGTGTTTGCACTGTACTTGCTACACGTGTCTTCTACGTCTTGCTTGCTCGCAACGAGAGTGGACCTTTTTCAGTCAGTATACAGATCAGCAAGAGGACCTTAGCTTGATGCGATGGTTTGCGTACACCCGTGACTTACTGAGCTATGCTGGGTGGCACTTTGCAAGTGCCTTCAGAGCCACTCATTCCAGGCAGGTCAATGGTTAGGAGTCAGACTAATTCAGCCTCAAATCCAATCCTCTTCGGAGGTTAGTTAGAGATCGACCGTCCTCATCCTTTAAAACCAATTCATGGGAGAAAATAGGTCTACGGATTATAAGCTCATAGCTCGACTGGCGTAGAACACGCGCGCTACGCACTGTCTCTGACGGTGGGATGTTACCTTCCGGTGCTCAATGGTTTTTGCTACCGCCAGCCTCAAGTCAGGCAGCACTGGTCAAATTGGTGCAAACCCGCCAACTCTCCTCCCTACGGCTGGCCGTAGTCGCAGATGCGTAACGTAATACGGTCGCAAAACAAATGTGAATTGTTTCACATCTTCAAATACTATGTGTGACAGGAATCGAGCGGATCGCGATGGGTCTCTGTAATCACCTTCCTGAGCCGGACTTGCTCCCCACTGCCTTGTGGGTCATGCTGCTGAGTCAAAGGTTAGAGGTAGGGCACCTTTAACTAAACCCCTCTCTCGAATAGGCTGCCGTAGAGTATCATCTGCCCTCTCGAAAACGTCTACAACACACCCAATTCTCCCTATTTTTCTTTCTTCTCTCAACTTTCTTCTTCCCCGTCGATTGAGCAAGAATCAGCCACTAACCTCGCTGCTGCTGCCACTGATAGTCGTAACTAGTCCATCAAACAATGAGTCTCATTTCACATTGGCACTTTGAACGTCTGCACTTTGGAACAGGTCGGTCCGCAGGCAGCACTGATTCACTCTTCACTCTCTTGATATTGATGTGTGCTTTGTCTCCGAAACAAGCATACAAAGTAACAGCGTCGTGACGAATCTTTGATTCTCTGGTTTTACATCTGACGACAATGATTACAATCTTAGCGTCTATGGCGATATTGAGTCAATAGATCAAGATATTTACGATGTTGGTATCACCCTCCACTAACATGGTAAAAAACAATCTGCTCGACTAGATGTCGGTGAACAGCCGCATGTGTGCGCTTCGAATTCGAACCTCTATTGGAGTTAATAAGCACCGCCTGAATAGAAGGTACCTTTTCATTGCCTCAGTTTATCCCCTACTGACCGCAGTTCGGAGGATATCACAGATGATTTCTACTATCGTCTTTCACGTTCTCCGCATGGCGAAGGATACTGGAACCGTGATTGTTATTAGTGATTTGGATACCTAAATGGATCGTCTTTCAGATTCTGAACATCTGGGAGGCCGCTTCGGAGCCAATGCATGCCGAACAGATAATGATGATCGATTCCTGCAAATGTGCACCGACCACGATATTTATATTAGCAGCACTACTTTTCAGCACAAACTTTAACACCGCGTCACCTGGCGCCCACCGAATTCCTCAATGACCGGGACCCAAATTGAACATAGTGCCATCAACTACAAGTGGCGCACTTCAGTGCAAGACTGTCGGTCAATTTGGAGCACGTGCCTACATTCTGACTACGCGCTAGTGTGCGCATGCTTGGAGCTCACTCTTCCCATTTTAAAGAAGCGCCTATTTTCCAATCTTCTTACCGGTAAGTTGAACTCGCAGCCTGCGGTTCAACAATGTCATGACAAACTGGCCCACCAATTGTAAGTGATGAATGAGGTTGGTGAGCCAAATGTTGATTAGGATCGCCTCAAGTGTGCCATTAAGAATGTCTTTGAAGCTTGCTATGCGCCCGACCTGGGCCGTCACAACTGTGAATGGTTTCTGAAGCATCCATCAGTTTGACCGAAGCGCGGAAATGGGTTCCGATGGGCACTGAGTTTCAAGGTGTCCGTAACTCCCGGAAACGACGTCTGACAGAGTCTTCGGATTGACTGGGAACATTGGTGGGTTGCAGACACGTGAGATGGAGAAAGCCAGTGCTGTTGGAAACAGTCGAGTGGTATCCCAGCTCATCCGGAACAAAGGTCCGAAAAAGTCATCAGTTTGCGAGACAATAGCTGAGAAAGATAAACTGTGGACCCATTATCAGCCGCTTCGACTATCCCGTTGAGCGGAATATTTTGAAGAGCAGTTCGGCAGGCTCGGATATTCGTGCAGCCTTCGATTCCGTCGATCGTACGGTAGTGGCACTGCCTACTGAGGAACGGTGTCCCCGAGAAGTTCGTCTCCATACTGCGCGCTCTCTATAGTCTGACCTCGGGCAGGGTTAGAGCTTATGGCATGCTTTCGCCTACTTTTGTGGTCTCCAGTGGAGTTCGACAAGGATGTCCATCTCTCCGTTCCTATTCAACTTTGCCATTGAGGATGTCCTGAAGAACGCTCTGAGCGATTCGTTGAACGCTGGCGTTGAGCTCCTCCCAGGTAGTCGAGTTGTTGATTTGGATTATGCTGATGATATCGTCTTGCTGGGTGACGATCCACACGTCGTCCAACTTGCATTAAACCGCTTGGCGATTGAAGCATCAAAGTACGGTATGTACTTTTCGCCATCCAAATGCAACACTCTCCTTCAAGACTGACAGGTGCCTCTACCTGCACTCACACTTGCTGGTGAGACACTAGAGGTTGTGGAGAGCTTTGTCTACATGGGAAGTTGCATCACTGCTGGCGGGACTGTTGGAGACGAGATTTCGATGCGCATCTCGAGAGCACGCCTCGCTTTTTCTAGACTGAGGCATTTGTGGCGTCGCCACGACATTCGTCTCTCCATCAAAGGGCGGGTCTATTGTGCAACTGTTTGTGCTGTACTGTTGTACGGATGCGAGACCTGGCCCATTCGTAAAGATGACTTGCGCAGGCTATCCGTCTTCGAGCACCGCTGTCTGCGGTCCATTGCCCGTGTGTGGTGGCAGCACCACGTAAGCAATGTGGAAATTAGACAGCGTGTCTTGGGACGTGGAAGCCACTCGCTCGAGGAGCTCGTCTTACTGCATCAACTGCGGTGGTTGGGACATGTATTGTGCATGCCTGTCCAGCGTTACCCGCACCTTGCGTTGTTTGCGGTTGCTGGACAGGGCTGGAGAAGACGGTCTGGTGGACAGTCTACAACATGGAGAAGCCGCATGAAAAAGCTGACGAAACAGTTGGCCTCGGCCGGTTGCTGTTGGCTACTTGGTCGGGGTCCGAGAGATGCGGATACCTGCTGGCTGAAGACCTTGGAAGCCATGGCTCAAGATCGATTTCAATGGCGGACGTGTGCATCGGTGTGTTGAAATGTCCCTTATTCCTCCCCTTAGAAAAGGAACAAACTGCAAAAAGAATTTCAAAAACTGTGAGTGGTAAACTGGACAAAATAAACGCTTTTGTTGTTGTCGCTCTTTTCTTAGTATTCATACCGTCTTGCCATTCAGCCATGATTCCGATGGCACAATATCTGTAACACAGATTGTGTATACTATATATATATATATATATATATATATATATATATCGGCAGGCCTGCTGCGACCCTGCCGATTGCCATTTCACCCGAGCCGACGTGGGAAGTAGATACAACACTTCCCACTTTGAAGGAGATTCGACATGAGCTCACTGTGTTAAAACGAAACAAGGTTTCTGGGCCCGACCACTTTCCCATATTTGCTGAATGGTGGTGACTCTTTATTGACTAGACTCAATTTTCGTTCTAGCACGATTTGGCAGAATGAAGAAATGCCTTCAGAATGGTGACTACCAACTGTCGTGCACAACGTCAAGAAGGGTCAGCGTACTTGGTGCGAAAATCATCGAGACATTAGGCTTATTCCCATTGTCACAAAACTGCTCACGAGTATCATACTTCGACGACCTACTGATCCCCGTGGTGACCGAAACACTGAAAACTAGGCAGGCTTCCGCCCTGGACGTGGTTGCATCAACCACATATTTACTCTTTGCCAAGTTTCAGAGAGGAGATACCCAAACGGAGGACGGATTGTGGTTTTCCTTAAATTGAAAGCCGTCTTCGACTCTGTTGACCGCGCCGGGTCCTGGCATAGCCTATCCATGAGGGGCGTGCCAGCTCCATTCCATTATGCCGTGTCTATACCATGACCCGCGAGACCGTGTAAGGGTGGACAGAAAACTCTCTCCTGAGTTACCCACGACAAGTGGCGTTCGCCAGATTTGTCTCATACCTCCTTTCTCTTCAACGATGTTATCGAAATGATGGCGAATAACTCGGTTCGTTCAGACTACCGGAGTGGAAGTTCTGCAAAGCGACCGACTGATAAATTTGGAGTATGCGGACGACATTGTTCGCTATGGGTCGGATGCATTGGTGGATCGGTTTAATTACCTTGGTGGATGTCACCTCTCGTGGTCACATCTCTGAAGAGGTTAGTTCGCGCATCAGCAAGGCCCGTGTGGCTTTCCAGAGGCTCAACCTTCTATGAAAATGGTGGGATATCAGCTTGTTAGTGAAAAGTAGGGTGCATAACACTGAGTTAAGGCCGGTTTTGCTGTATGGATTAGAGACCTGGTCATCGCTTGATGCTCTGGCTGCCGCAGAGGATAATCAACCGCGTCCTGTCTACTACATAGAGCAGGGTAGATAGGGGTAAGGATGCTACTGCTCAGGACCATAAGACTTCGTATTCCGCCTCTTAAGCTCTTTCATTCTTATCGTCCCGTACCAACTTCAATTTTATCCCCCC